AGCCTTTGGGAGTCAAAGCCTTGTGGACACAGTGATGAGACTGTGCTGCCTATATTTATAAACAAGGAATTTTGCTCGTGGCTTTTGGAAATGGCACGTTATGGACAAAAAGTAACGAGACCAAGCTGGCATTGCTGTTGGACTATTTGTAATTTCCATAAGTTTTTTCAAGTAGTTATAGATTAAAACTAGAGAGAGTGAAATAAGGTATGATTTGGTATTGGGAACTATCAGAAGACTGAGAAAGAACAGGAAGGGTAAGGATAAGGATGGGGAAGTTAAAGCAGGAGATGTTTATTCAGAAAATCAGAACCGAAAGAAAAGTAAGAAGTGCTTTTGAGAGAACAGGGTAAATTTGCACTGATCACAGATTTTTGCTTTCTTCTTCTAGTGAATATTAGTTTGCTCCATCTCATTCCCATCAGATTCATGTCTGTAAGAATTCAAATTCAAAGTTTCAAATGCAGATGGTTAAGTTTGAAAGACCCACAGTCTTCCTAAATGCAACCAAATTTCTTTAGCCTCCTGTACCACATACTACTTGTGTGTGACTTTTTTTGGTAAAACAAGAACACAACCTGACCTGAAAAATTAGAAATATGCAAGCTAATAGGAATAAATTAGGTGTAGGCACCATACATCTTATTTGGAGTTAAAGGATTTTTGTTTTGCATGAAATTTTTCGTTTTGTTAATGTTTTTTTGGTCACTAAAAGATTAAATTGTGACCCTAAGTATCTGTGTGGGGAAAAAAAAATAGAAGCATAAAAATATAATAGCCTTTCTTAGTATGTATTAGAAATTTAGAAGGAGACTAAGACTGTAATCTTTTCCATGTTCTTCTGTATTGCAAATTCTAAGCTATTTCCACAGCAGTCACCTCAGGCCATTGCATCAAGGTAAGTCAAGGATTTTTTGTTTCTCAGCAGCCACCCCAACTTAATCTCTAACAATTTTAGAGATCATCCTTTGTTCAACGATATAATTCCACAAATCGTTACCAAACCCTATTATTGCAAAAGAAAAGCTTTACTCTTGTTTCAACGTTTTACCACTCAAGTTCATTGAAATTAAGCTTCTCTAGTGTGAGTCCAGCTTTTTCTGAAAAACACTGGAATTCTTGTAACAGCAGAGGTGTGCAGAGGGTGATGGAAATCAGCTGAACAGGGACTGTAGAAAGCAGCTGCACTTACTGCAAGGAGCAAGAGATGGCGATATTTTCTTATGTGTTAGGAGAGTTAGATACTGTATCTCTCTCTAAAAGAATTTTAAATCATATATTGACAGTTATTGAAACCCAGCATAGAAATAGTTTTTCAGAAACTCAGCGCTTGTATCGCTTATGGATAAATGTTAGTTTTAGGAGCAGATTACACCGTAAAAAAACCCTCTTTTACACAACCAGAATTTAAATATAAAAACATCCTAAAGCCTGTCCCTGCTAAGGTCACGATCTGAGTTTAATTACTGCGTGGCCTTTCAGCCCAGAAGATGATATGATGTGAAAGAGTACGAGGGAAAAGATGCTCCCCAAGGAACATTGTTAACATAAGGGATTTTACCTGCTTAAAAAGATGCAGCACACAGGTCTGTGGAAGGTGAAGAGGCTAATTTAGCTACTTGCTGAAAAAGAGGCTTGGGCTCTAGTTTCTAGGAAAGAATATTCATGTGTTAATGTACTACTACTAGAGGGGAAAAAAACGTATACACACACACATGTACCTATAAATATATATTTAAATTAATCCTTAGATTAAGAACTGACTGCAGAACATATATTTCACCACTTTGCAAAAGATATAGTTATACCTATTCTGTTTTATCTTTTAAGCAATTCACATGCCAAGTCAAAACATAAAGCAAATCCTTGCTTTTTAATACAGAAATACTCCTGGCCAGAAAATGTTGATGAAATTGATGATAGCATGGATTCCCAAAGGACAAGAATGGAGAATCATTTGAGATTATGAACTGCTAAAAATCCTAAAACAACAAATCTTTATACTTCCTTTGAAATATTTTTCTATCTAGTTCCCCTTCCTTTGTTTTTTCAGTTTTTCTTTTTAAATACAACTTTCCTATTCCACCTCCTTGTCCACAAGTATACATTAAACCTACTTTTCTAATTTAGTTCTCATAGGAAGTTTGGGTGAAAAGTAGAAACTCTGAAGACTCATGTTTGTATGCAGCAATCAATATTTTAAGTCCACAGAACATTTTATCAGCCTGAAATTCAGCTGCTCGTTCAGACCTCAAAGCTCCCTGCAAGATTTTAAAAAAAGTGCAACCCGGTGGTTTGAGTTCAGAGAGAGCAGCACAAGCCAGGCTCTGTTTTTGGGAGTGTGGGATTCTGACCTGGATGTTACGTTAGTGGAAAAGTCACCAGGCTGTAGCAGCCACACCAGCTGTGCAAGGGGAATGACAATCCAAAGTGTTACTTTGGCTTGTGTTTTAAAGCCTCAGCATTATGAACACAAACTCTTTCTAATGTTGCTTAGAAAATTAATGTGACATTAAGGCTGTCCTTTATATTGTGTTTGGGAAAGAACTGGTTTTAATGCTTTAATAGGTCCTCAATATTCTTCTGTCATTTCCTTACTTTATTAGCCACTATTTCCTGCGAGGAATCTCACAAATGAATTCGAAGAAAGCTAATGTGCTGCTCTGATGACAGATTGCTTTCAAGACTGATCTCAATGAACTTTCTTCCCTTCTTGCAAATGAATCATCGCCATTCGATAGTGGACTGTTGGACAGATATGGGAAGTGCTCTTTGCTTTAAAGCTTTCCCAACATGAGGAATGCTCTTAGGGTCACAGTACCATCAAATAAGAGTAGCATGCTGCCACAGAGGCTAAGATTAGCATTATTATAATGAACCCAGACATTATGTCCTTCAAAAACAGAGAGAAAACATCAGCTTGTGTGCACCATTTGCCTTTAATCAGATACACACTGAACTCATTCAAAATGCCAATAGTTTTATAGATTGCTGTTCAGTTTAGTAGGTTTTTTCTCTACTTTTTTCCCTTAAGAGATGAAATCCACAGCAGCAGCGTGACAGAAGATACATTAAATTAGTCAGTGAACCCGTGAAGAGAAAAACTCCATCTTTCTGCAGTAACAAGAGAAATTCAAAGTAGTTTTTGTGAACGCAGAAAGATGTCCAACTTTAACAGCAGCATTCCCTTTGCATCTCCTGTAAATCAAAACTAATCCACAATATTGAAGATTTATATACCCAGGACTATATTTTCAAGTTCTTTTATGTATTTCTGATGCACCAACTTTTTGTTATATCTCAACTTGTTTAACCACTTTGCAAAAACTAAAATTGAAAGAAAACTTGAGTTCACCTTTTTAATGCTCATTAATTAATTAACTAAAATAATTAAAATGTTTTTACTTTCTTAAGCCCCTTTTGATTCTTATTCTCTCAAAAACATAGCCACGTGCTCTTTCTTTTCTCTTCTGTAGGATTCAACATCCTTTTTTTTTTCATATCAAATCTTTTGTTTTTCAGAGACAATGCTCTGTGGCTGTTATTACCAAAACACTTAATTTTGAGCTGGTCACAACTGTGTGTGTTGCATGAACTGTATCACTGCAGAATTGCTGCTGCAATTACACTGTGGAGACAGTTTGTGTTTAGCAAGGCAAGCTTCCATCATGTTATGGGATCATAGAATCATTTAGGCTGGAAAAGATCATCAAGTCCAACCCCTATACTCACAGTTTTTCTGGTGGCCTCTTTTTGAGAAACAGATTGCTCTTACAGGTAATGTGAGTAAAAATGTGCGTTAAAAGAAACACTGGAACATAGGAACAACATTAATAAAAATGTAAAAATGCTTTCTTGTTCCCAACAGGCAGAAGAGGATGTAATTGGCATGTTAAAAGGGTTTAAGGAATAAGAACTAAGGTGGTAAAAGTAGTCTTTCTCATGAAAGTGACTCAGGCTGTGAAAAGAACAATTGTTCAGGGGACAAGTGTGAAGGAGGAGCTAAAACCTGCGATGCTGCTGAAGGAGTGACTACAGTGGACACTGCAGGTAAAAAAGACAATCTCACAGTTTCAGTTAACTCCTTTTTTTGTGTATTTATTTATGTATTTTAATAGGCTCTTTTTGGGCCAGAATGAGTTGCATTATATAAAAATATTGTTTTGAAATGTTTGTGAAAAGGTGAAGGGAATACACTTACAAGGCCAGAATTCTACATCATCCAGAGCAATGATGTGCCTAATTTGAAAGAATGATTAAGGTAATTGTATGTACAAATTTTACTAGTTGCTGCCTAACTGACCATTACTTTTACAAATTTTTAATCTATGTACACAACTGCCATCATTGCACAGGTTAATTAAATGCCATTGAAAATCAGATTTGATGTAAAGGTTATATTAAATAAATATCAGACTACTTAAAAATTATTAATTGATCAGTATTGAATGCCAGATGATATACATTTCAGAACAGGCTTCTGAAGAATTTTTATGATATTACTGTTAATCATTTTTATTGCTTATTTGATACATCTGTGAGTATGTAAAGATTGATTGCTCCTAATGCCTTTAAAATAATTGGAATAAAAAGAAGGCTGTTGGAATCATGAATCCATTTTATATGCTAGTCAATCGAAAGAGTGAGAAAAAAGAAATAAATCTTTGAGATCAGTTAAAAGATACAACAAATATAAAAATCTAATGGAATTTCATGTTATATTCACAGTTGTATTTTTAGATCATTAATTATTAGATGGATGTCAGTCCTGCAACTCAGGACCAGAAACGAAGTTTTTCCATCGTTGCTAAATACACGACTGCTATGCACAAGAAGAACAGTTCCTTTTGGGGGCTCATCTCTTCCTCCTCATTAGTTTTGAATGTATAATGACCTGTTTTCATAGAGACTGATGATATTTCTGCCCAACTGTGCTGTAGTTTCTATTATAACAGGCTCCCGAGAGTGGCACAACAATAATCAGGCCCCTGTGACTTCGTCAGTGACTTTGAACGGTTAAATGTGAAAACAGGGGGTGAAAACCACCTACCTTGTTGTTGGAACAAAAGGAGCGTGGCTGATTTCTCCTGTGCTCCTGTTTCTCTGCTGCCTGTCCATGTAAAGCCTGCTCAGATGCACACAGGTAGGACCTGGAGATTGGATGCTGCCTCAGGACTGAGGAAAGCTGAAGGGCAAGTTACTTCTATGCACGTGTTGAAACCTAATTATACGGACTTAGGAAATAAAACATCGCCTTAAAAGATACAAACTGTATTATATCAAGGACCTGAAGAGTGAATCAGTGAGAGGGATATCACTTTCTTGTTTTATTGGTGACCTCCTTGGTTTTCAGTGCCTTCCGTCTTCAGTCCATTTTTTATGCCCCAAAACAAGTATCTTGCTGTTGTCTGTGATTTTTTTGCACACCTGAATTCCTCACGAACTTCTGAAAAATCTCCACCAAAAGTTATATTTTTAACCCTATTTCTGCTTCATAGTGATTAGATCCACACCTATCTTGTTGATACTTTCTTTCCCTTCCCTCGTTTCTTCTTCCAGTTCATAACCAATGCTCATTCCTGCTTTGTCCACCCCTAGGTGGCTGTTACCTTGCTGCAGCTGAATTCTCACCGTCCAAAAATCAACACCATTTACCTCACTCATAAAAACGCTGAAGTTCAATAGAAGGTGATAATAAAGGGGCGATTACGTGGTAGTTATCACTCTGTGGGTATAAGCAGTAACAGCAGGGATTCCTGACATATCATCCTTCCTTCAAAAACTGCCAGTGTCACTCCTTTTTTATGCTTTTGCTAGGAAAACTGAATCGATGGGCTAAGAATGTATCCACTTCAGCTGACTTTAATGAGTGGCACAAATGCTGGAGAATTAATAGATGGGGGAAAAGAAGTTAGGCAGATGTATCTCGTGCAAAGCTGTGATGTTGGAAAGAATTGCGATCCACTGTATCAAAAATAAATTCAAAGAAGAGAGAAAAGAAGAAAAGGAAAGCAAAAAAAAAAAAAGAGAAATAGAAACACTTGAAAAACTGGTGGGGAAATATATCTCTTTTTAATTTGAGAACATTGAATGGTTTGTCTGGTATTGATGTGCTATAGAAGAGGAATGTAAACCCTATTTGGGATTACTTCAAACAAACCCAGCACTGCAATTTTCAAACTCTGAATTTAACATCCTGTGTGCTCTGAGTGTTATTCTCTGTCATAATGACAGACTGATAGTGCAGATAATAGAAGCACATGTGCAGTGTATTATTCCACCCCTTTGGTAGCAGAGAAGATGTTTTTGCTTGTGTTTCAAATGCAAATTTTCTCACTCCCCCAAAGAAGTTTTGAGACTCCTTAATATTGTGCAGTATGAAATTATGAATTATAACTAATTCTAAAATTAATTGCTCAATTAGACACAAATTCCTGTATTGATGTTGTTTACAATTTCAGATTATATTCTTTGTATTAGCACTAATAGTGTGAGACTTGGTTACTTGAAGGACTGTTTTGTGTATCTTGTTGTAGAAGAAGGACTGTAAGTTCAAGATAAGGACTTGTTGACTTATCTAGGATTTTCTCTGAAAACGTCCTACCTGAGCTAACTAGGTTATGGTTTAAGAATACAAATTCCAGAATTAACCAGATCCTGGGATTTGTGTGCTAAAGAAAAGATCCAAAATTTTTCTTTTGACTGTATGTAATGCAAATTTGGATGATAATGATGGTTACATCTTAGAATCTACCAATTTGTGTAGTTAAATATTTTATATTTCCTTCATGAAAAGCATAATGATAAAAAAGCAGACTTAGGGAAAATTAATTCCGAGTCTCTCCAACGTATTTTAAATCTTCTGTTTTATTGTTTTTATAACATTATCACTACATGAATTTTTAAAGTAAAAGTATTGTGATTCAGTACGAAATATCAAAAAAGTAGTTTGGGTCAAATGACAGACAAACTACAGAAAGGTCTTGCTGCCCATGAGTGCCCAGGCTGGCCCACCAACTGCCCCTGAAAGCCAAAGGTTCCAGACTTTGTTTCCCTGGGATAAGGACTATTGTTTGATTTTTTTCAGCCCTGCACTGACACTGCCAGTCCCGCTCCCAAAATTCCATACGGACAAAGGTTCCCCCCAGACCAAAGGTGCCACACCAGAAAGCTCTTGCTGCCCGTGGAGTGCCAAGGCTGCCCCACCAACTGCCCCTCAAACCAAAAGATTCCAGACTTTCTTTCCCTGGGATAAGAGCCGTTGTTTGCTTTTTTCAGCCCTGCACTGACACTGCCAGTCTCACTCCCAAAATTCCATACGAACAAAGATTCCTCCCAGAAAGCTCTTGCTGCCCATGGAGTGCCCACTCTTCCCCAACAACTGCCTCTCAAACCAAAAGATTCCAGGCTTTGTTTCCCTGGGATAAGGGCTGTTCTTTGCTTTTCGGAACCCTTTGCTTTTTCTCTGATTTTTTTAAATTGTTATTGACAAAATAATTATGAGATATTATGAATGGTTTTTTTTTCATTTGGACATGCCATTCGGTTTCACACAGTTGTAGCCATAACTTAACTCTTTTACAGTGCTAGAAAAGTTTGTACATTTATAAGCTGCCATCTTAGTACTGCAAATAACTTACTGCTGTCACTGAAAGGGGTAGATGAGTAAATGTGGGTCTTTTAACCTCCCCTCTGATAAAGCCAAGGTTTTAAAGCAACGTTTACTTTGCATTATAATATCAAATATTCTGTTAAGAAAAATCTATTGTTAATTACTGCACAGTATGTTTCCATCTTATGTGTGTTTAACAGCATGGTAAGATGTCAGTCTTAGCAGTTTGTTGTTGCTGTTAACACCCCAAATCCCTGCATTGTGTTTGAATTAAGGTTGCTGTGTACATCACAAATGAAATTTGATCCCATTGAAATGCAAGGTACCTTCAAAACCTAAAGAACACAGAAATTAAAGGATTGGTTGCAGTACAGTTTTCCTGTGCAGTAAGACAGGCACAAATAGCCAATATGGAGCTCAAACAGGTGGCAGAATATACACTACATTCTCCCATTTCCATTTGCTGGCTCTTCTTGCCTTTGTGCTGTATATGGTATAACCAGAATAACCAAAATGGACAGACAAGAAAGTGGTTTGGGGGAGGTAAATGCATAGGTTCTCTTTATAAAAACAGTTTGGGTTCCTGTATATCAGAAAAAGATCTGATCACCCTTAAACCCTTCAGACAGGTGAAGACCAAAATGGCTGAACAGTTTTATGGAGAGTACAAAAGAAAAGGTGACATTTTCTCCTTTGTTAAAGATCCTCACTGTTGTCCCCTCTTCAGCAGCTTCCTAGGCAGGTTTACTAATTTCCGGGGTTTCCTGGTCTTACACAAAGTAATTTCTGATTCGTCAAAGGTCATCTTCATCTAGAAAACTAAGATTCATGACCTAAACAAAATCCATTTTTGAGGCTCCTCGGTTGTTTCAGAAAACATTACTGAAGGCATATATCAAAAGGCAGTCTTATGTTCTAGTCCTGATCTTAAAAAAAATAAATATTTTTTTCTAACTATAAAGTTTTTTTCTACACAAAGAATTACAGTAATTTTTTTCTTCTTTCTGTAATTAACCAAACAACTATAAAACCCTAGTGAGGAAATGAGATTTTCACTGTACTAGATAGAAACATTCACTTTTCTGGAATTTGAGTTGAATAGTTGAATTTACATGGGTTTCAGTAAAAATCTCACAAGGGTTATTTACCCAGATTTTCTTCTATAATTCTGTAAGATGTCAATGGTACACTTCCTTTATCTTACAACAGTAGTGGTTCAGACTTGACAATATTTGCATCCCCAAATACAGCTCAGTTTTAGTACAAAGGCTTTTTTTAAACATCCAGAGAGAAAGTAATTGTGCACATCCTACTGTTTTTTCATCACAGACCATTCAGCAATGTGACCTCCTACTGCTTTGGTATTACTGGTGATTATGATTATTACTTTATTATAATTATTTATTATAATTAATAATTATTATAATTTTCTTCATTGACATCTTATTCTGTGATATAACTGTCATAACCTTTTATTTACATTTAGGCAGTGGTGTACATGTTAATAAGGTGGTGTTATCTTCACTGCCTGATGGAAGTGTGTCATACTAGAAAAGTAAATGTAATACAAGTATTTAAAATAGATATTTTTTTTCTCTTTAAAATATTTTTTTAATTGATGTTATTTCTGGAACTTCTGAGGACACTTGATTATTTTTCACTTTTTGTCTTTTTTAAAAGGTATTTTCCATAATGGCTCCGGTTATACTAACTGATTAGTACAAATCCATATGAATCTTTAATGCAATCATTATATGAAATGGGAGCTATAGATGTACTGTATGAGTTTTATGACACATGGGAAAAAAGGTGAAGACATTAATTTAGAAAATAACACTTTTTTGACGGACCTAAATGCCACAAAACTCAGAAGGAGGAAGCTACAAGGTTGATGTCATTAAGCATTCTGCAGTGCACTCTTCTGAGGGTAGTTAGGAATTTCTGTTGCAAGGTTTTATGAGGTGTAAATATTTTTGCGATTCCAAATCTCTTCGCACAATTTAGCACTCGAGCACGTGTATTTTTTTACCTAGAAAAGCCTTTGTGCCATATGAAGCTCTGCCTGCACAGATTTTTGGCAAAAAGGAATCTCTTTTGAGGCATTGGAAGGATAGCATTGCCTACTTTGAAGAAACAAACTATCAGAAGGCAAGTTAAATTACATATTTTCACAAATGGGGCATGATGTTTGAGTTTTGTAAAAACAAGGGTAGAATTCATTGCAGTCCTTATAAACACATAAACATAACTCAAGGGAACTGTAAGGCACTTCAATAATGAAGTGTAGTAGATAAATCTCAGTGTGGAAAAACCCAGGAGTTCAAAAAATAGAGTTAAATAAAACTGTGTCTATTACTGCATACCTGAACAGTCATCATGAAATAGATGCTCTCCTAGGATAGTATTAGAAAACACAGGCAACATAAAGAAAATAAATTGGGGTTATTTTCAAGCAATCCCTTATCCAAAAATATGTCTTTGAATAGTGGGAAAAGGCTTGTTAAACAGAATATGGAAAGACAATGACATAGGCTGTGTTTGCTTGAACATCTAACAATTTTTTTGTACATATGAACCCTTGGACTGATTCAGATACAAGTTGGATTAGTAGATTATTTGTTCCTTTTACATGTTCTGAAGAGAATGGTATCTCAGCATTTGCTAGAGCTTTATATTCCTGAATACTTCTCTTTAGTTTTGCCTTACAAATCCCCTTTTTAGTATTTCAGGCTCAGTAACCTGAAATACATTATTTCCATCCCAGAGAGGAGAATAAAAGCCTTTAAATGAGTCACACTGGCTCACACAAGAAGCCCTATCCAGTGGTAGTGAAAGCCCATGGCAGATGGACTGAGAAACTCAGGAACAAATCAAACTCATTGCAAATATACAGAAGTATTTCAATACACATTTTACATCATTGAAGATTCACACAGTATTTTTCATGTTATTCAAGAGCTTTTCAAAGACTGATTTTTTAAAGACCCCAGTGAGGTACTGATCAGGCAAATTCAACAGCTGCTAGATTGCATTGTGAAGGCCTTAACAAGAGACTGGAATAGGTGATTTAGGTGTAAATATATTTGGACTGATCAGAATTCAGGAACTATGATCTTTACAGAGATTAAAAACCAGTCACATGGACACGTGAATGAATATTCATTCATACAGGACAGTAAAACAGGCCTGGTGCTTTCACTGCTAATAAATCCTTAGGCTGACTGTCAAAACATGAAAAGAGCAAGGAGTGAGGCACTGTTTGCTTTAGAGGCATTCAGAATTGAAAAACTGATCTTCATCCATATGGATAAGCAGTCAATATTTCAGCACCTGGTCATGCAGAGGGTATGTGATCAGATCTTAACATAGGATACATGCAGTAGAACTGGAGAGGATCTTTTCATTCTGCCTTTGGAAACATTTTCCTCAAAACTGTATTGAAATTACATGGATTATAAAAAACAAACCAACAACTGGTGCTAATAACCTTAATACCGTGTAGCTTGTTGACGTGTTATGCAGTTTGTTGATGGTGTTGACATCATGAAATAAGGCCCCACAGAAGATAACAAGTAATGCTTCAAGATCAGACTGGAGAGATTATCTAAGCATATGTTGTACAACATAAACTGTGGACAATGCATATTTTTATTCTGAACATGGAATGTACAGGAAAAACGGCAATTTTTAAATTGAGCATTAAGGCAGGAGTAGCTGTTTTCTCTGGTATAATATGTGTAAAGATCTAACCATGAAATATAAATGAAAAGTAAAATATCTTCATTTTAAGTAAGCAATATTTGGACCATCTGTTGGCCATAATCAACTCCTTTATCAACTGAATCAAATATCACTCAGGAAGTCAGCCAAAGCCTACATACCTTGGTTTTTATAAAGACACTACTGAAGCATTTAAAATGGGTTGCTTTTTTTATTTACCAAACCTAAAATCCTGAGAGAAATTTGTGATAGTTTCATGCTTTGAATTTTTTGCCACTTTGACATATTGCTCAGCCTTGCAATTCCAAAGAAATTTTTCATTATTACTTAAACTGCCATCACCCAAACAGAGATGTCTGTACGATCAACCAGGGGCAGAGGAATTGTGCTTATCTGAATGCTTACAAAGCCAACCAAGGAACTTATGCCTCAGGAAAAATAATTGCAGAGGTAGGGGTGCTAAAAAAGCCATCTGACTGCCAAAAGATGTGCACTGTATGACAGAGCACCTTGTGCAGCTCAAAGCCCACTGCAAAAAAAGACACAGAGAGGCAAGGATTGATTTCTGTATTAGATTATTTCCACAGATTCCTGTAGTGTTGTCAGGCTGTTGAGGATTTAACTGGAGTTTCTAACTGCGTTGTTTAGAAAGACCTACTCTCTAAATTGCTTATATATTATATTTATCTATTTAATTTTATATATGTTTATCATCTCATTAATGAAGAAATGGTCAGAACTGATTTTCTCATTGTCGTCTGCTTATCTTGGGTTCATCTCGTACATCTTTAATGTGCACAACCTATCAGTGACCCAAAATGAAAAATCATGTCATTTCCAGAACAACAATGAAAAAGAAATAAAAGGAAATATCTTTAGTACTGTCATGGTATGTTGTTTGGCTCTGGTAGAGTTACTTTTTCCACAGTAGCTGGTATAGGGGCTGTGTTTTGGATTTGTGCTGGAAACTGTTGATAAGTCAGGGGTGTTTTCATTACTGCTGAGCAGTGCTTACAGTAACAGTAACTGAAAAAGAATCAAGAGTGATGCACTATATATATTAAATGACACATATGTAGAGTTGTTTTGTAGTAAATGTAATAGTATTTGTTTGCTAAGAGAAATCATGCAGTCCTGTTCCCTGGAATCCAGGGTGAAGTGAACCATAAGGACTATGAGGTACAGACTATGAGGTCGAGTTTGTTTAGATAGTGTTGCAAAACTCTCTTGCCAATATAGTTTCTCAGGGTCATTCTGTCTGTGTTTCTGTGTCTAACACTACCTTGTTTATTTCTAGGTCAGTTTTAGAGCAGCCTTCAAGCTTTCTCTTCTCCCTCATCCTTTTATTAAAGTGTCTTCAGTAGAATTTCTCCTTATAGCTGAAATTCTTCCTCTTTGCAAAGATATGCTTGTCAAGTGAAGGTTTTCTATCACTTATGACATCTAATTCTATAAAGGAGCTTAATGGCTTTTTATATTTACCCTAAATGTATGCCAAGTCTTGTACCTTTCCATCCTGCTTCAGGGAGTTTTAAGTCAAGCTATATTGGTGTATTCATATTCATTTTCATTCTTTAAAACATCTTATTTTATATATTTGGTTAAATATATTATACTAGAAGTTAAAGGAGGCCCTTAAGTGGCAAGATCTTATTTTAAATAGTTAGAAAATTTTAAAATGTTGGGATTATTTTATATTAAGGGCAAGATTGATCCACATGATCCATAAAATAAGGCTTTGATAGATTGAAGTTGCCTGCTACCAGTAAATAAAAAAAAAACAAACCAGTTGCAAGTCTTTTTCCACCTGGTAGATGACATCTAGTTACAGTTCTGAAGTGTTGGTGAGTTGTGCCAGAAAGTAAGTCTGACCTGGCTGGCCAAACCTGCGAGATAAATCTGTCCTGGGCCAGCAGAACGTGCTGTGACCGATGAAGTGGAACAAGAACAAGCATTTGTAGCTCTGGGCCTCCCTTGTAAATCGAGGCAATTCAAAAATGTGTCATCTTTTCTGGTATTTTGACCACCTCTGTCTTTTACACTGCTGCGTTGGTGAACTTCTCACGTTTATTTCTTCGGAGGATTTTTGAGGGAGAATCCTCGCCCCTCTCTTCGTAGTGTGAGTGTTTCAAAATATAACAAAACTGCAGCAGCAAAGGTCGACTGCTCGTGTGTGCGTCAGAATGAAGTATCAGCTTTGATGCTGGCTGAGTTATTACTACATTTAATGCCTAGATCCAAGGCCAGGGCCATCAGGGTCACCCACGTTGTCAAGAGTCACATATATCTGCTCTGGAAATCACTGCTGTGCTCTGTTCTGTCATTATACGCCAGGATTACTTTTTTTTAGTTTATAATACTTAAGAGATTTTAAGTTAAGACTTTATTTTAAGTTGCTACAGCAATGATTAACTCCATGTGTTCTTTATTTCTTCTGCTAGATAACTGCACCTTCCAGCTCAGAATGCAACAACCTGCTAAAGCTGTTTGTGCACCGGACAGTGAAGTGCACAAGCCCTGGGATGAGACAGAGGTTGTGTTTGTTTGTTCAGGAAAACTGTTTATGAGCAGAGAAGGTAATTAATCAAATGTATCCCACAAAAATTGAACAAGTTGCCAATTCTTGCCAGATGGCCAATGCCTGTTATTGAGGAAGAATGGATGTAAATGTACACCACAGGTAAAACCCAAACCTTGTTGAAGCCAGGACTTCAGCTTAATTTAAAATATCAGTAAGAGAAATACAATTCTGTATAATACCCTTTTCTTTTAACAAACTCAGTTTTAAATGACAATTTGACTTAAGTCAATGAACTCCCTGGTTTTAATTTTAGTTTTCTATTCTCTTTTAATGCTGATTTCTGAGATTATTGACATCTGCATGATAAAATGTCCTTACTGCAAGCAATTTATCAGTTTGGCTGCTGGATTATAAACTCCTAAATTTGTGTTGTCCTCAACTGGATTGAACATCTGATTAGATTAAGATTATAGATGAGAAAAGCTGTTCACTCTATGATTCTTTAGCTTTTAAAAGGCAACACCATCATTCATCAATTTGGATATTCTTGAAGTGATCTGACTCAGTGGAGAACTAATGAGTGGGAGGAAAGGATGCGTGCTTACCTTGGAAATGTAAAATAAACAGTAGAGGAATTAAATAGTAAGGGACACAGGAATTACAAGAGATTTCATTGATGACTTTTTCCCCAGTCAAATGAACTCTGTTCCATTCAGCCAACATGCCTGTGGTAATTGGCATCACCGCTCATATTTCAAAGGGGTGCTATGAATGAGATTTACCAGGAAAGAATAGTGAATTAAATGACTGCATGTGAGGAGCACAGACAGACTTTCCCCCTCATTTATTCAAGATTGAACATAATAACCAAGGAAAACTGATATAACTAACCACTTCTGACTTCTGTAAATTGATATGGGATGGAGCTGTCATCTCCTAATCAGATTAAGTCCTTTCTTTAGGCCATTTTTAATCTGAGTTCTACCATGTGGTTTTACTTTAGGGGAAAATAAACTGCTTGGTGTTCAGCTACTAAACATTATTGATTTAATAAGATGACCAAAAGATAACATTCCACTGGTAACTAAACATTTTAGTTGTAATGTGTATACTGTGAATGCCTTTTCACTTGTCCTTTACAGTATTTTGGATACTGTAAGTAAAATGGGAGCAAATCAACTAGATTGCCTTAAACCTATATTTAATATTGTAATGTTTGTTCTTCTGAATTACTGTGATACAGGAAAACTTTCAACATAGTCACTTATGTAAAAAGACACACACATAGACACAGAGGTAATTTTTATTAGGAGCCTTGCAAGGCAGCCTCTGATTGTCTGTGCCACTGAAAGAATACTGGGAAAGGCAGGGAGTGCAGCAGCGACACTTACAAACAATTAAGAAAATAGACCAACCTTTTCTGTGGTCAGAAACTTCACTGGGTTCCACATTGTGCTCCACATTGTGCTTCAGGCCCAATTTTAAAATTTTCATGCATCCTGAATTATCAGTGAGAGTTCTCAATTATCATTTATGCTACAATGAGTTCATTTACATTCCTCATGTGTTACAGATGTCCGCATTTTTCTGGGTTTGCTGCTTCATCCTTCAGCTGGAGGCTTACAGTTTTACATCTCCTTGGGTTTTCAAACCCTATAGCTTATGGTATTACAATCCCCCTTATGCTAACTTAAATCTACCTAATATCCCAATAATGCTTGAATTCTAAAACCTGATTATCCCTTCCACTTCTGCAAGGGATGAAATGATGATCCTCTTTTGAGAGGTGATGAAGGAGCAATAATCTTAGCTTTTTTAGGATTCCACTGGAGCTTTGTGCAGTCAGAGGTCCCCAAGATTTGGGGGGGAAAAAAAAATTAAAACAAAACATGTGGAAGTGAGTTCATGCAGTCTAAACTGTTTGAACAGCAAGTTATTTGCTGTGTGGATCTTATGGTCCTTCTGTTGCAGCTGTTCTGCAGGAAGGATTAGTCTCTGGGTGGGAATGGTGTGAGTGATGGCTTAGGAAAGATGCTCCACTGAGTTGTTAGGGTGTGGCCAAAAGCAGTGAGTGCCTTCCCTCCTAAACTGGAACTACTGTCCAATGGTGTTTGGGACCAAGAGCCATGTCTCTTTTCCCTTCTTTTTCAAGCACCTTGCATGTGAGAATAAAACAACCTAGAAATTCCAAAAGCCAATCTTGTCTGGTTTTGTAATCTTCTTTTCTGCTGTGATTTATTTCCCCTTATCTATCAGCTTTTTTCCTTTTGCGTGAAGCTGTCAAAAAATGCAGAACTGTTTAATAGTAAAATGACCAATAGACACACCACCAGTCTGAAAATCTGATTTATTTCTGTAATTTCTATAGCAGCTTTTAGTCTGCAATCTGTAGGCTGAAGCCACATAGTTTATATTAATATATGTACTTGATATTTTCTTTCGTCTTGTTATATTTTTATTTATATAGTTCTGCAGGGTTTTGGACAGAATGCAAAATAAGTGCATATAATAAATGCAACTGTTTATACCTTTCTATTTATGTACTAATTTTAATTGTTATTCCAGCATCCAAAAGCAGCAAGATCCAGCTGCCACAGATACTGTTCTTTCTCCTCCAGAGGAATGTAACAGCCAGGTATATTACACACAATCTAGAAAAGGTATGTAATACTCTTTTCTTTTTTTTTTAATTAGAAACTATTTATTCCATCACTGGGGGTCATCTGTAGTAGCTTTCTACAGTTCATTTTTATACCTTCTCACTTGTGATTTATGCAAAATTTATCCCTACAAGGATTCAGAAACAGTAATTTAACATATTTCAAGCTTACACTGGGATAAACACAATAGCACTGATAATCAAAGACTTTTATTTCACTTTATTAAAAAATATGTTTTCCATTCTATAAAAGCAACAAATGCTTTAAAAACAGTACATGCATGATAACATCCATTCATTTTTTTCAACAGACTCAAGTGAATCTAAAAGTAATTCCAGTGACACTCTTTTGGAATTAAATTAATTATGCCCATGTCCTTTGTCATCTAATCTGTGGCTGTAACTTCAAGGGGCTGATGTCACCTGTAATATTTTTATTTCTATGTGGTGTAGGCTACTTTCCCTTCAGTAGAAAGTAAGCAATAAAACTGTCAAAACAAATAGAATACAAGAACCAAAGAAGTTCTCCAAATAAGTGAGTAAAGAAATGAGGTATCTAGTGTTTCAGAAACTTAAAATGCATAGGAAACTTGCTTTTAGTGCTCTAGTCCATTTAAAAACATGCAAATAAGAAGTCATATTGAGTTAGGATTAATAATCAAAACCCGACTGTTACTAGTTCTTTACTCTTCCCTCATTTTCCCCTCTCATCTGCAAGTAAATTACAGGCCTGTTGAAGGGGCCTCATTTTGCCAGAATGCTCACTTACAAATCTCATCTGCTTTCTTTCTCTAGACAGATTTTTCCATAATGGTGTTTTCCAGCGTGGGTGAACCAGACTAACATTTGGAGTGTAAATGAAACCCCCAGATTCTCTCTCGCTCCCCATGACATGAGCAGTGGTGATTCCTCCAGAATGACATCCCTTATTTCTATAGCTCTCCTTTCTGAGGTTATAAAAATCATCCCAGCTGTATGAAATAATTCTTCCCTTTCTCACAGTATGGTATAGAAGAAATCACAGCTTTCAAGGAAATTTCCCTTGGCTCTGCTCATTGAGTTCCTCCAGTTTCATTAAATTTCCTATTAATACTCTGAAACGAACAATAGAAAGTGTAGGAATGTTTGTTGTTCCACAGTAACCCCCTGGTTAAGAGTAAGGTAGATGCCTACAATTCTAGTATATCAACTACACAGAAAAACAAGTGTTATCATAGTTCAAGAATTAACCAAAAAGGTGTCTTAAATTAGGTCTGAATAATGAGATTTCCATAATGAAATAAACAAATTTCATTACAGGTTTATTTTCATATTATATATATGACATATAATATGAACCATATTATATTCATTTATAGGTTTGTCTTCACTCTCAAATGAAAAGTTGCCAAGTAAGTTACATATTTTTTTCCCTGAAAAATGCTTCAATTTCGAGGTGTGGAAATATTCCCTGTGGTTAAAGCTTGTAAGGACTCTTTGGTTAAACCTTGAGTTGTGGAGCTGGCTGTCACATACCACAGCTTTTTAACAAACCCAGTAATTTCTGAAAGGCTTTTGAAAAATTGAATGGGCCATTCGAAAGCCACAAATCAGATCCCAGTATTTTTAGATGAGTGAGAAACCGTGTTGTTATTAAACTTGAAAGGTACCAACATCTCTGAGCTTGACAGCATCCCACGGAAGATATATTTCCTGCTGCTACAGAAACATTAAGGTGTTCCAAAGGTAAATCAGCAGTGACAGGTCAGTGACCATAGTGCACACTCAGCATCCTCAGGAGAGCTGGGTTTGTCTGCATATCTCATGCTTTCCTTGTCTGGAGAGTTTTCTTATCCATAATTAACATGAGGATTTGAGAACCATAAAGCATTTATTTGCAAGGTGTTTTCAAGCAAAATAAAGAACAGCTCATGCTGTGACTGCCTCCCTTTCTGTGACTGGACAACAGGTTTGTGCAGAGTGGTACATAAATTGAAGTCTCTGACATTTTAATGTTGCTGTAGCAGCTTCAAATCAATTATAGAAGAGGCTGAGATACACACTGCAAGATTGCAAAATATGCAAATCCAGCTCAGGAGATTGTTGTTTCTCTTATCTCTATAGAATTTATATGCTTATACTTCCACTGACAGAATAACTTCATATTTATACATAGAAATACATATTATACATTATGGATGGCCTTATGCCATGGCCTTCTTTCTTTGGATTGTATTATAAAGAATATGTGATTACTTACGCAGGAACAGAGGCTGTTTAGTTTCCTTAATAGATCACGAGTGTTTTGGGATGGTTTTCTAATAATAAAATGTTGATGTATGCTGAAATAAGTTAGGAAAACAATGTTGTTCCAAACTGCTGATTTTTAATTTTAACAATGTCTAATTTAAGAATTTTAAAAAAATAATATTAGGACACAGCTATGATTTTTGTAATTTTCTATTAATGCCCAAACTCCTGGTTTACTTGTAACTCCTACTAGCAGTGCCCGTCTCTGCTTGAAGAAGGTAAGCAGGAGGTGTGGCTGCTGCTTTGTGACAGATTGCTCAATATGTCATTAGGCAAGCAATCAATAGCTTTCTGAGTCTGTGCATGAAGTCTTCAGGAATTTTACCAAGCTTAGTATCAGGTTTGAAACAATATTTCTTAGAAAAGTTTGGACAGAGGCAGAAATGGTGTGATTATCACATATTTAACATCTGTGACTGTCCACAGCATGTAAGAGATGGCAACATGAAAGATGTTCCTCGAGGACTTGGTTCTCATAAAATTGTTAAAAAAGGACTTTCTCTGTAACCATCAAGCAAGTTCAAACTTGAGGAGAATGGATTTGCTCAGTGCTGAGTGCCTTATCTGGCAAAATTATGTATCTACTGTGCACCACAGCGAAGTTAAGCTTGGCTAAACTGAAGTCTAAGCACCTGAGGAAGAAAAAAAAAAGCATGGCAGAAAGAATGGCATTTATAATGGACATTTTTACACCCGGGAAAAAAAGAAGATACTAAAATCAGTACTGTTAAGTAGCTGTAGGAAAAAAAAAAAGAGGTTCATCTATAGTTTACAGAACAGATCTTTGGAGAAATACTTTGCTGTCCTCAGAACTGCTCATGATTCTACAAGATTTCCTCAGAAAATGTCTTGCATTGAGGGACATGTAAGTGTTTAACCATCTTTTTTTCCCTGTCAATGAGCAGGTACCTGTACATTATCACAGGATGAAAACGCCACGGCACAAGAAAAACTGGTAAGCAATGTGAATGCCACACAAATGCAGAATCCCTTGCAATTTCTGAGGAAATATTCTGTCTTTTCTAGCTAAAACCAATCATCATGCTCAGGGTCAAAGCATGATGCAACAGAACCATTATGAACATCTTTAGCCAGCTTGAAATGTCTTCATCGGGATTCTTTTCTGCTTAAAATTAAGGAAATCTTTAAGTCTTGAAGAATAAAAAACTAATCTTAGCTGCTTTATGTGATTTTTCAGTACTAGGATGGTTTAGCAGTTCAGAGTTGTTAATGTTGTTAGCAGTTGCCCCAAGACAGATTGCTGACTACACGTGCCTTGATAATTCAGTTAGAAACTCACCTTATCACAATGAGATTCTGCCTGTCAGTGGTAGATTATTATGTTAAAAACTCAGTCCCCACTGGGACATTTCCAGACTCTTGGAAAGGTACATTTTTATGGAGCAGTATGCTGCTCATTATTGTATTGTCTTGTGAAAGTAGCTTCCCAGTAGCTACTACCTTTTCTACCAGAATACAAGAGATACAAACCAGTGTGAAGGACTCCCAGTACACCGTGCTTTTGGGGGAGAGAGCACATTGTAGGAATCTTTCCAAAACACTGAGTTTCACCTGATGTGTGTGGTCATTCCATGCAGCTGTTCCTGACACAGCAGCCTAAGGAAATGGTTATCTCTGGGCACAGATCATTAGAGGGGATGGTAGGTGTGCTAGAAGGTTGCTGAGGCAGAGCCTTGCAGGCACTGGGGCCTGTGAATGTAGGGCACAAGTTAAGCCAGACAGAGCTCAACCCACATTTTCACCAGCTGCAAGAATATTGCAGAAGAATCCAGGGCAGACGTTACCCCTGATAAAGCAGTTCTGCAGTGACAGGAGTTCTTCAGGTCTTCTCCCTCCTCCTCTTACTTCTCGGAGTCTCCAAATCCCTGTGTAACAGACCTGAGATGACATGGGGTGTATTCCAAGAAGGGTGAGGTTTGAATATGTCCAGGTGACACACTGTGAATGAGGGGGAAAAGCTAAAACATATATGCACCAACTGTGGCAATGAACATGTGAACTAATTATCCTTAAGAATTATTGTTATTTGTAACATCCCTTTCCAAGGGACACAGCTGTAGAAAATCATCAAAAATGCTATTTATTTTCATCCCAACAGTAGTATTGGAGCACAATTACTTTGAGAGTCACATTTAATTAGAATTCCAAACCCTACCAATGTAGTCTTTTGTAAAGGAAACATTGATTCCAAGGTACATTCTATTTTCAAAAGTCAGCAAGAAAAAAAGAAAACTTGACATTATTCCCCTTATAGAGTAATTTTGCTTTTATTCATTATTATTAGATCCTGAAAAAAAGAGTAGAGATACTACATTAGGTGACTTTAAAGGACCTAAAATACATCAGTAGCTTCTTCTTCAAAGTTGAGATTGAAAAAGTTACCCTGATCATACCCATAAGAAAAAATGGTTATAACACTAAAAAGTTACCCGTTAAAATTTTTACTTGTCTTTCTTCCTTTGATGTAAAAAAAAAAAAAAAAAAATCTTTTGAGAGATGAATATAGACTTAAAAACAGCAAAATTACTTCAAAAATATAGTGGAAGACTTAACCTTTTGACTTCTGCCGACTGTCTCAAAACCTACTCAAAATGTTCAAGGTGATTCAGTGAAATGAGTTCAAAGCAGCAGCGTCTTATCTGCAACTAAGAGCTGAGACAGCCCTTTTATTTGAAAAGCTTTCTCTGGGCATTTCCATATTCCTCCTCTTCCATTCTGTGACGTTCCATTCTTTCTCTTAAGCTCGGTTAGTTCTCCCATCTCTCCCACCTTTCAGCGTTGCAATTCCTGATGGCCCTGATAGATCACTTGTTTCCTTCGGAGCTGAGTCAATCCTTTCTCAGCTGCAGGAGAGAAATCCTGCTTGTGGAAATGCCGTGTCAGCAGAGCCTACTTTTAGAGGCTTGGAAATTATGCAGGAAAATATGAAAAAAGATGAAAGCAAATCGCTGTCAACACCACACAAAAAAATGGTTTGTACCAGTTGTGGCTACCGATGTGCATATTAAATATCGAAACTGAAAATGCAACATTGAGAAGTTCTTTGAAGATTTTTGGAAGCAATTGTTGATTAGGAGTTTAACATTTGAAAAAAAATGCAAGCAGCTCTACTGAATATTAGATTTTATATTTGCATAAAGGCAGTAAACATATTTAGGCTATCACAATTACAAGTGGTAATATAAAAATCTGCTCAAAACCTCAAATAATATTATAGAGGGAAATAAAACTGTCATCTGTTTTCATTCTAGTTATTAAAGTCTCACAGTTAATGAACTGAGAGCAGTGTTCTGTGATGATGTTTCAGCTAAAATTGGAACTCTCTGGTGTTAGTTACTACATGTCTGGGGTTTTTTTTGCTTTTAGGAAAAAAAAAATCCTGCTTTCTGAAGTTTGCAGTACATACAGGGCATAAGAGCTTTTTACACTGAAACAGTAGCTGGAATATGCTGAGAAAACAGAGCTCAAAAAAGCAATTCTATACGCTGGTCTACATAACTACTGAACTTATGAACATTTAGTGAGGAAACCACAGATTAACAAAGAGGTTATTTAACAGTAATGAAATACTAACAATGGTGCTGATGATATTTATTTCTTATAGACTCAGCTACAACTGCATTGAATCAGTTATCAAAAGCTCTAAAATATACAAGTAGATTCAAATATAATTGCTTAAGTTACCATTAATACAGCTTTCATTTTAAGGTGCTTCAAGCTGGTCACCTCCACATAAAAGCTTTCCAGCATATAAAACATAAAAGCTTTCCAGCATTTCCCTCTGGCCTTTGCTGGCATGTACAGAATAGACTTCAACTGTCAGCGAAATAATGAAATAAAAACACCTGAAGGAAAAAATATTTTGGAGCATACAGAAAAATGAAAGTCGAGGCTTCTCATGAGAGAAGAATAAACCAGCTTCGTGGTTCAGGTGGATCCAGACCTGTTCTTTATTCCCCCTCATCTATGGAACACGTCACATAATCCCCTTCCAGACAGTACGTTGGTAACATCTGCAGAGAACTTGGGCATTCCTGGAAAAACAGCCAGGAATTGGCTGTTTTTCTTTGCTGTGCACTGACTGCAGAGAGTTTCCAATTAGAATTACAGCTCATCAAGGCAGTGCCAGCAGGCTTCTGAGTGGTTAAGCCTCCAATTTTAATTGAACTGCCTTTAGCTGGTGATAAAATCTGTCTTTTTAAACAGGCGAACTGCATAGTTCCCCTAGCAAGTTAAATTCAAGTTGAGTTTGCATTCAGGATAATTACATGGAGTTGGATCTAATTGATTTAGTTGAAATGTGTATTTTGTTCACCAAAGTGCTACAAAATGTAATTCTGTTTTTTCCATTTCCTTTTTCTCCCCTCCTCTATTTTTTTTTTTGCCATTGTGTTGTTCTTTGCAGAATAATTAATAAGTAAGGAATAAGATGTGAAAAGAGCTTTCTGGTTGAAAATCGAGGTTCTTCAGATTTTCCATACATATGGAAAATTAGTTTAAAGACTAAACTTAATTCACATTATCCACTTTGTACTGCCAAAACCATTCAACACTGTGCGAAATTTAGAGAAATATATTGCAGTCATTTATAAGACAGTAATACCAGTGATCACTGGAGTTTTTCCAGCTTCCTACGCAATAAAAGGGGGAACAAGACCAAGTATATTTTTCTAAGCCATTCACTAACTAAAACATGTTTTTAAAACAAGTCCTCTCCAAGAACATTATGACAAGCTTTAAGGGTATGAAATAATTTCACTCTAATACACAGTCATGTATAAATAGAAGTATAAAATAATCTGAAGGGGGGGAGTGAAAATGGAATGTAGGCATTCTTGAAATCTCACCACATTAATGAAATTGTAAGTATTAATGCAATAACATTCTTAATTAAAGAGGCAGAATAAGGATACCTTTTAACTGTTACAGGCTATTTTTAATATTCACATGGCGTGACTGGGACAGTGTGGAAATGGCCACACCTGTATGTTGGGTAGTTAAGCATGAAGATACCAGCCTACCCCTAACCAGCAAAACAGGTAAACACAACCATTGCTCTGAGTGCTCCAGTATTATCCTCATTTATGTTATTTATCTGCCTAAGGACCAACAGTGCTTTGCTTTCCATCTGCATCGCTGTGCAGACATCTCTGACAGCAAAATCACCTGCCTGTTCCATCCTGGCTCACTTGTCCAAGGGGTGCCATTTAGCTGGAAGGCCTAATTTGCTGCTGATCAAACACGTGGACATGTCATTATTTTTCAATGATGGTGAGAAAGCAATTATTGATCTTCAGCTGCTATAGCAATATTCAGAGTGAAACAAGGATTTTTGAGACATTCAGCAACAAAGGTTAACAAATGAAGCAAAAATTATCCTCTAACATGTACGTTATTAAAAACATTTTCAAAATCAGATTTGTCTACCCACAATAATCAGCAGTTGAAAGTATGACTAATTATCCATCTTCCAGCAGGGTATTGTAATCTTTTCAGGACAGAGGTGTTCAGGGGAGGTACCCAGGCATCACTGTGAGCGCTCACGCCCAGAATACTGCACGTGTCTGTTTTCTTAGAACCACAGTATCCTTTCCAAGTTTGTATTAAAGGCTATATCAGATCTTCCACTCGGGATTATCCCTCCATAAGGATGGTCAGTGTGCTTTTGCAACCCCTTTTGTGCTGCTGGAGGAAGCCCAGAGTTGTGTTGTCTGTTGTAATGAGTAAGAAATGAGCACAGCAAAACACATTGCAAAGTTGGAAAGCAATACAATCAATTATTAAAAGGCTTTTTCTTGACTATTTCCCTCACTTTGTTTTATGTTTGCCTTTTCTTTTGCTAGCAGTCAAGTTAGATGTTAATGGAAAACCCATTAAGAAAAGCTACTAGCCTATGAATTAAAAAATGAGTGCAGTCCAGTGGAAAAGGAAAACTTAGCAATGAATTTCCAGGGAAAACTTCTTACCTGACACTTAGCAAGAAAGGAATGCAATTTTATTACTTGGCCAGATAGTTCAGATTTCTGTTCACTCTTAGTAAAAACCTTTTTTATAACATTTATAAAACTTTATTACAGAGTTATGAGAATAATATTAGATTTCATAACTCACATGAGATCTGCAGGGACCAGCATCTGTAAGCTTTAAAATCATTATTAAACTTAATGCATCTATTCTGATAAAATGTGGTTTTCTTCTAATTTCTCTGAGAACTCTAACCATATTATTTCTTTCCTTGGACAGGTGGGATTGTCTTTGGCAATAATTTAAGAAGTTATTTTATTTTTTAAAAAATCCTATAATTATACTTAGTTGATGTTATAAGTTAGTTGGAATTTACAGGCATATTCTTTTGAGAGACTTAAAACTTAAGGTAAATTACTGTCTAGTTGATGCCACCTAAACTTCCCTAGGCAATGAGCATGTTTTAGGAAGCTAATTATTGTTCTAGTGAACATGTACAGAGTAACTGCAAACAAGTATTTGCACAGTCTGTCTCAATAAATAGTTGTGAATTGTATATTTTCTAAATTACATGTACTTAATTAATACTGTTTAATTTTGACATCTCTAGAATTAAGTGACAGGAACATTAGGCAGGAAGTATTCCCAGTACTGCAGGAGATGTATCTGCCTGAGGTACAATTAACAGAGGTTCCTCCAGAGGAATATTCAGAGTTTGGAGCCTGATCCAGACTCTCCAAACCAGCCCCTGGAGGATCCTGCTGCTATTTATTGTACACACAACTGGAAGGGATCAGCTGCAAAAGTTAGATTTTTCAAGGATGTACCTAAACCTAAGTGGTACAAATATCTCCTCACAAGGAATTTTTGGAGAGTCTTCTTGCAAATCCTGTCTCCCTTGTTTTGAAGAGAGTATAAAGATTTAAATTTTATTTTCCAAAACGTGTCTTCTTCTGAAAAGGGCAAGTCTTAGTGTAGTTCTAGATTTGAAAAGTGCAGGTAAATTAGCATGAATGATGTCATTCACCTGATATTAAAAAAACTTTACTTGTTAACACAGAATCCTTTGGAAAATTAAAAAATGTTATATCATCATCTGCATAATAGCCAAAATTGTTTTTAAATTAGATACTTGGCAAGATCCTCACCAGAGGTAAATTAGAAATATTCCAGTTAAGTCAACCAAACTATGACTTTAAACCTTGTAATTGAAAACAAATCTGTTTCTTTTTTGGGCTGTTTTTCTGAACTTCTGTATTATACAGATGCCAGGATCCATTAACCACATTATTCTGAAAATTCCTCTCTCTGCAGTTCATCTCTGAGTTCTGTTAAGTAAGGCTGCACAAAAGTGGTTATCCAGAGGGGAATATACATATATTTATCTCCAGAATCCATAGCTGAAATAACTTGTTCTCCTATTTTACCCAGAAATTTAATATTCAGAGTCATGGCTATGCCAGGCTCATCCATCACAAGTTTCCAGAAGCAATATGCAGAAACAGCAAAAAATCTTGGGTAGGGATTATTCAGATTGAAAAAAACAACAAAAAAAAATCCCCAAACCAACCAACCAACAAAAAAAAAAAAAAAAAAAAAGAAAGAAAAAGGAAGTGCAATTTTAAAAGGGAGAAATAAGGAATAAGGGAGAAAATTCTCTAACCCTTTTCCCTACTGTGTGAAAGTAAGGAGAACATATCCAAAGGTAAGACTGAGCATTAGAATTTGGAAAACCAAGACTCACATTCCTCATAGTTGTGGATGTCTGGGTACAGCTGCCTATAATTGGTTTCAGATCACAGCCTGTTTCCAAGATGAAGTTCAGCTGTCTTTATTTATTAATTGATTTTAGCAGAATTAGCTACTCTTGTGTTCCCTTCTTCGATTATGAGTTTTCTCAAAATCGTGTGTTTTCATGGGAAAACAGTTTTTGACGTGTGACATTGAAGACTGAAGTGCTAGGACATACTTAGGTTGCAAAATTCACTACTGTGGTGTAACATACATAGAGATCCAAACCACACCTGAAATGGCATAATTGGTCATACACATTAGGGATAAAATTTTAATGCAGTTTAATGCAATTTTTAACATAGCCTTGATAAAGTTTTTCCGAATGCACAAAAGCCTTGGCTGGAAGCTATTGTTCTTCAGCTTGTATTATTTAGTATGGTTTAAGGAGACATAACTCAATAGTCTAGACATGTATTTTCATTTAAATAATTTTGATCTCATTATTCTAGGTTTTGGTTAAAGTTTTTATGGTATATTAGGAAAAAAAATTTAATCACAAAAGGAACAAATAGGAAATTCTTGAAAGTCACTTTGATTCTATGTTAGATCTCATTATTAAAAGTATTAAAGAGAAATCATTTTCTACAGGAAAAAAAAAGCTAGATTTGATGCCCACAGTGTTCTATTACATAGATAGCAGCAAGTGGACAATGATAAGTCTCTGATCTTCATATTATTATAAGATAATTGAAGTTGATGGGGTTATTCTAATGTAACTGAGAGGAGAGTGAGGCCTAGCCTTTTGAAATGCCTATTTAAAAAATCATTACAGTAGTTTTAATAAGAGAAGTTTCTGTAATGACACATAATTTTGATTATTCCAGAAGGCTGGACCCCCTGACAGATAGGAGATTTACTGAAATTTCCCAGACATAAAACTGGAAACATTATATAGGCATGACAGGGGGAAATGTGGCTTCTCCTTTTGGAAAACTGGTAGTCTTAAAATTATTTTAAAACGTGATTTCAAGGCAGTTAGGATGTGGAGATTCATACTCATTACATAGCTTTTTTGGCCATAAACATTTATTCCAAGCTGATATAAAAGAACACCACGGATTTCTCTACAGAAAATAGGAGTAACCAATAGATATCAAACAGTCTCCAAGTAAAAGTATATGTAACTTTTTACATCCAGTCACTGTCTACCCTGAGGTGTGGGCAGTGAAGACCCTGGTACACTCATAGAGGCACTCAAGGGTATTCTCCATGTATTTTATTTACATCAGTCAACTAGAAGTTAATGAGAATGACTCCCCCAGAAAGAAAATGTAAGTGTATGACTTGTTGTCAGTGGAGTTGAACTACAAAGCTGCTTAAAAGCTTTCCTGAATCATGATCTTATAACTTTAATTTTCATGTGGTGTATTAATTGAAGAATATCATTGTTTAGTCTTTTTTCCCAAATAACCATAAATAATAGCGCTTTCAGTGACAAAAGACAGTGAGATCTATCCTTTGAAAATTTTTTTCACATAGTTTACTTTTCTTTATAGAAGTACCTGTATTTAAACGAGGAGAAGCAGGTGCTTTCTCCTATGAGCAAGGCTTTCAAGAATAAAACAATTATCAATTACAACATGACTTTTATATTGGGAAATAATTTTAATATCTTGATATCCATCATTTATGTGTGTTTGCAATATGCCACCTAGAGTTACTGCAGGATCTATACACAGTAATTTCTAGCTTTTTGAAAGTGTTAAACAAGAAAAGACTAAATGTGGTTGGTTTCTTTGGCAAAAAAATCAATTCTCTGTATGTTATGTCTTGATTACATGGTTATTAACCCCAGTGATAACTAAATTTAGCATGGATGTATCATGTATTTCTGTACTATTGTTGCTATGTATTTATTCTTTACTGTTTAAACTTTCTTTTCCTTTGGAGATGGAGCTTTATAAAGCTTAGCTTATAAGGCTTATAAAGTGTTAGAAATTATTTGTATACAAACCTTACAATATTTGCAAAGTAAAACTAAAAAGATGTGATAGAGTGATAGAAAGTGATAGTGTCACGGGCTCAACAGCCCAGTCACAGCCACACTGGTGACATCAGCCTGAGCCTTGCCTGGGTTTGTTCCAGCTTCAAGGTGTTTGGAGGATCTCCAGGGAATTTGTATTTGTAGCACTTGACTCCTTTGGATACACTAAATTCATGCAAAATCTCAAATGCAAAGAGACAACACGTGCTGTAAGATGCCACGGCTTTTTCACTTACTTAAATCATAAAAATAGTTGATTTATCAAGTTCAAGGAGAAACCAAACCTTTCTTCAGAGTTTCAGCTACTCTGATTTAGTGCCTGATCCCACACTTCTTTAAAGAAATACAAAACCTTAACATATTGTCATGTTTAGTGCATCTCTATGTAACAGAGATTCTTACTGTTATTTGGTTCATACTGTAGCTTTTATTATACTAAAGCTTTTATTGGTTTCATTAAATTAGAGCTATTGCTTTAAAGCTGATATTAAAACTTGTTCCTGATAATAAATGTAGCTTTCTCTGCAGGAAGAAGAACGTGCTCTTGGTCCTGGTCCTACTAGAAGTAAGTGAATTGTACCAATTCCTTTTTGTTACTTCTTTTGAGGTAATGATCCTTGAATAAACAGACATTATTTCCTTTTCTTTTCCATTGCAATCTTCAGAGGTTCTGTCATCCAGCAACTTGCAGGAGTGGGCTCAAGAGGAAGACCCCAAAATATGAAAGGTTAAGAAATTCTTTTTCCTTTAAAAAAAAAAGGACTAATAGGATTCAAGCTGGTTTTATATTGATCTTATTACTTGTAAGATTCTCTATAGTATATTAAAAGCTGCAACTGTTATTAGGAAGACAGCAAATGCACCATTGCATTTCTGAAACACATACATCAAGGGGAAGTACAACACAATACAAGCATATTATATGTACGTATTTTAAAATATAAGTGTCAGGAAATAGTATTTGCTACTCTAATATTTCATTTCTGTAACAGCACACACAAAACACCAAGAATGTTTAGAGCCCCTGAGCCCAACAATGTGGCAGCAGTTTTTTGTTCGGAGTCCTTAAAATACAGAATAATGGTCATTTATAGATTTTTGCCTTATCCTGACATCTCAAACTCAAGCCACCAGAGTGGCCTATAATGATAGTAGAGAGAAAGCAAACTTATAAAACTAAAAAGAAGATACTATTAGGAGCCAAAACATATCTTTTTGTTTGGTTTGGTTTTTTTTTTGACGGCCATGTGGTGAATAGGGAGGCTGTGCCATGTATGACTCCATCCTGGCACAGGGCTGATGCAGCACTGAAAAAGCCCTTCAGACTTAATTAGTCATTTTTTTATTATTATAACAGGGGCGTGTTCCAGCTGATACCACAGCCCAGGAGCACCGAGTGCTGGAAACATGTGAAACATCCAGCTCTGCAGAGCAGCTCCTTGGAGTCCAGGAGTTTGGTACGTGCTGTAACTCTGCTGAAGTTACAGATTATTTTGTACAGATCAGATTATTGTGTGTCCTGGTCTGTGCTCACTGCGCTCCCTTTGCTCTTTCCTCCTCATCCCTCAGACCTCCCCCTCGTTTCACAGCTGGATCCTCTCACTCTCCGCACCTTCATGTATCTATTACTTTTGGTGTCTGCAAACAGCCAGGGATGTGGGCCAGGGAGCAAGGGCACTGTTACCGAAATGACACCCTCTCACTCCCCCAAATCCTCTGCTCTCGCCCAGCGCTGTGTTGGACTGTCGGGCTGACGGGGAGACCCGGCAATTCGGGGGATGACGCGACAATTTCAGAGGATGACTCAGTAATTTCAGAGAGGCGGCCCCTCCCGGCCTTTCCCCTTCCCTCCGGAGAGGTGAGGGAGCGCGTTCCATCCGGGGGGAACATTTCCCCGTTCCCTCACGGTGTGTTTATTTTACACCACAGGGCAGCGCTTCCCCCGCATGAGGGACGCGCCGCCCGGGCCGGGCCCGCCCCGCCGCCGCCGCCAGGTGGCGCCTGAGCGCCGGGCCCTGAGGGGCCCTTGTTGGCTCCTTGGCTCTGGCTTTGAAGACTCTGCCAGGATTTATCCCGGTTGTTCCCAAACGCGTAAATACAGCTCGTCTGTTATTTGTTCGTTTGTTTGTTTGTTCGTTCTCTGGTCCAGCGAGCTGTTTCGTTCCCTTGGGAGCTGAAGGAGCACTTCCGCGGGCTGTGAAAGTGTAGGCTGGTTAGTAAAGGTTTTGTGGTTTAGCGTCTCCCGTGCCGAAATCTTCTTGGACAGAGGAAAATATACTTGTATCTTAATATATATACGGTTGCGCTGAAGCTTCACTGACTCACGTTTATTTCAAGTGTGAGCCCATGAGCCCCTTTGCACACAGGGAAATACACGGGAATTGTGTTTATTTCCCAGGTGTTGCTTTGGGAGTAGCAAGGCTGGAGGGCACGGGTGGGCATTGGAGGTGGGTGGGCACATTGTCCTGGTTCTGGTCCAGATCAGCCAGAGGGGGCATGGCCAACACCCTGATGTTATTCGATACCATCTTACATCATTGCCAGGGGAAAGGGGATTCCTTGGCTTGGAAAAGAAAGGATGTTCCTCTCTGGTCGTGGATGCAGGGTCTGTCCACCATCGTTTTTAATCCTCCAAGGCTTGGTGAGCATTTTGCATATAAATCACCCTCTCTTTGTACACTTCTGTTATTGATATTGTTGCTGTTACAGTTTGTTTTCTTATGTTATTGCTGTGTCCAGTAAATTGTTCTTTTCCCAACCAGTGATATTTGCCTTTTGTGCTTCCATCTGGAGGGGTAGGGGAAGCGAGTGTTGGTGTAGTTTGGATGGGAGCACTAAATTGGGAATACCATTCCTCAACCATGACACATCAAATATCACTGAAATACTACAGAAGAAGTGACCTCCTTCCAAGTGACCGTGCCTTTTGGTGTGATGCTTTTTTTTTTTTTTTTTGGAAAAGAACCTCACCTGCTTTTGATGTGAACCTTCCCTTAAAATGATGCATTTTGGGGTAGGACGTGGCTCTACCACTGTCAGCAAACACAGAACAAATCTGCTCATTTGGGGCTGAAGGACTGATTACAAGGCAGGGAGCTGGGGCAGACATTCTCTATTTACATCATATTCTGGCACTGCATTTTCTTAATATGTTTTCTCTTTTCTCTGCCTGCTATAGGCAATTTATGTTCTGTGAGTGCTCTCCATTGAGTCAAGCATGATCTGGGCTTCTACTTACAATTTCTAGGGAAGTGAACATACGTGAATATATATGTGGCTAAATCATTTTGCATTGCTAAAGCTGACAGTAGGTATCATTCTCAAATTGCTCTTTATTCTGTGTGATGAGACCTTTCTTCTCTCTCTTTGCCCCTTGGGCACACCAAAGTTATTAACCGTGGGGAAATCATATCACCACCACGTGATTTCTTTAAAAATCATCCAGCCAAGGAAGTCACTCTTCTTATGGTAATAAGAAACAAGTCCATCACCTGATGTTCTTTTCATAACCCTAATTTAACTGCTTGAGGGGAGACAGTCTGATTTAAGAACAACTATTTTAATTAGCTTGTGCCATTAAATTGTTTGAATTTAAGCATTTTTTCTTTTTAGGGGGAAGCTTCAGTGGTAATGAGATAAATTTGAGATTGACTGTATGAACATATCTTGCATTTGTTTAAGCTTTACATTTCTCATGTGTGTAGTCAGTTTTCATGTACATAAACTGTGGAAAAGATCAGCTACTGAAATGGAGCATAACTGTGCTGACAGCAAAATAGCTGCACTTACTTGTACCAGCTGAACATGTGTCCCCTCTATGGCCAAAATTTAGATGTGATTTATCTTTAAGTAGAGGACAGCATGGCTTCCTGGTCAGATACAGGAAAATTGTCAGGAAATGACAATTTCTGCCCTGGTCCCGACTTCTTGTGTAACCTGGAGCAAACACATAGTTCCCTTGCACTTTGTCTATTGATTGAAGATAATTCTTTCCTCTCTCACCTAGGTATTATTAAGTTTAATTCAGTGATGCATAAAATGGGATAAATACTTAGATTAGTTGGTATGCACTGTCAGTCAGAGTATGAAAATAGATACATTTTAAAGCTGTGGGCCAGCTCTTCAGCCAGGTTAAGTTGAAATGGTTTCCTTAAAAGCCTGAAGGTATGTAGGTTCATAGGAGCTGAAGGTCTGATCCATATGCATTTCTTAAGAGGCCTTCTGTAGTTCAGCCTTTACAAGAATATCAGGGTTTGCATATTGGAGATGCTGTAAAGGCTGGAAGGAATCTGTAAATGTTACTTATAAATGGCCTCTATTAATAGAAGGAAAAAAGCTTGTGTTAAATTTTTCAGATTGGCAATGCATTTAAAGCTGAAGTAAATTTGATTCTGCTGGCTGCACAGAAGTGAAATAGGTCACCATCACTACTGTGGTGGGCTTTTTTCCTCCTTTGCTTTGACAACACTTTGCAAAGCTTGAGGAGAAAAATTACACACAGCTGCAGTATACTTACTTTAATTAAAAAAAAAACAAAACAAAACAAAAACTATGTCTGTGTAATCTAAAGGAAGGAAATAATAAAACTGAGGGAAAACCAAAGTATCTGCAGGCTACTTGGCTTTGGTAAAATGACTTTGTGTTCAAAATATATACTGTACTCGCCCAGTAGAATGTAAAATATTTATTTACTCTGTGGTGCTGGGTGACCCACTTATTTCTGTCCCATATTAAATGGTGAGGGGCACGAACACTATCTCCAGGTGAATATTTTGCTGTTCTTCAAGGCTTTTTGTCCGTGTCAAATATCCCACAGCTTCTGCATATGGCTGAGCTATTTTCACTAGACGTGGTTAGGTGAGAAAATTAGTTTTGGGCCGTGCCATGTAGACTTCTAAAAGAAAAGGCCTGAGGGGGAGATTTTATTTCATAACCCTTCACACCCCTGCTTAGCAATCAAGTGCTTCAGTGCAGCCAGAAATGGCTTTGTGCAGCTGTGAAAGGTGTTGGTTGGTGTGCAAAGGACAGTTCAGCTCAGGAGCTGGCCAACAGCAGCACATCCCTCTAGTCCTGGACTGGCAGAACTGGGTGGAGAGTCTACACAACACTTCTGCTCTGGAGCCGTGCTGTGTCTTTACAGTCCTTTGGGGTTTTGCCTGTCACACTTTTACAGTCCTTTGGGGTTTTGCCTGTCACGCTTTTATCCAACTCGGGACAACAAGCTGCTGTTTCATAATCCATACAAAAATGGATGGTTGTAGAGCAGGGATGTCACTCAGCATTTCATGTTCAGCTTCAAGTTCTGTACATACACAGAGCACCCGTCTTCTACTTCTCAGTTTACTTACACCCTCTGCTAATTCTTTATATTTGATCAATCCATTTCTTTTCAGTCCCTGTGACCAACAAAGGGTATCTGGGTGACAGAGTAACAGAGATCATTTGTTCCACAGAAATGTGTTGTCTATTGTTAGTACAGGCTAGTGATACTGCAAACATCAGGATATTAAGAGTGAATAATGAAAGAGGTTGAATGCACTCCATTTACATATAGACTGGTGGATTGTGCTGGCATTAGCTCTAGGATATCAGTGTTGGAATATATGTAGGAAGATGTTGTCTCCAGACACCTTGTCTATAGGCAGATACCCACCCACATCAAATGAGGAAAGAGCAGGAGGGAGAATACGGTGGAAACTGCAAGTCTGTGCCAGGCAATAATAGAAAAAACTATGCTGATTGATACTTGTAAAGAATCAAATTTATTTTTTCCCCTCTCATACTGAAGGTAATGACAAACTGTGAGCCTGGTTCTGTTCCCCTGCCCCAAGGGTTTATATAAATATATCCACACAGCTTGACTCTGAGGGCAAGCTTACTTTCCCTACTTTGTTCTTTACATTTAGGCTATTTGCAACTCTTTCTGACATTTCACTAGGACTTCTACAGCTTCTCTTTCATCAGTATATATTTTTAATTACAGTATTCTCCTTTTCCTCCCCTACATCCTCCAGACACATATTTGCACTTTGCTAAGCCTTTTGCTATATGTTGGTTTCCTTCTGTTATAGAAGGATGTTGGGTGAAAACTACTGCTTTGTCTTTGTGCCTTCTCCTATATTGGGTCATTTTGTTCTGCTAGACAAACTATCTTTGATTTAGTGGGGTTGAAGTATGAGTGCATAATGGATTATCTGTCACTGGACCAAATCAATCATGGTTAACAGTGTATTGACAGAGCATACAGCAACTATCCTTGACCTGAGGTTGAAAGTACCTGTTGTCAACATCATGTGGTTCTTGCTTTTGCTTGGCATGAACTTTGAGGCAGAATACTCTTTATCAGCTCTTTTATTCTAATATATGTACTAGTTTTCTCTCTGAGCTTTATTTTTTTAACTGATACAGGCCTCCCTTTTCATTTGTGGAGTGCAGAAGAACCCGCCCAGGCACGTCTCAGAGTTTTAAAGGTAAAAGAGAAACTCTTGTGCTTTAAATAAAAACCAGCCATTTAACACTGAAATTACAGTGAGATTTTCACTGTAGTTAGGCTGCCATTTAATTACCCAGGCCGGGGTGTTTTACATATTCACTTGTGATATCTGATACTGTATGTTGTAGGAGGGAAAGTATGGAACTGGTTTTGTCCATTATGAAAATTCCTTTGCTCCTTTATTCATTTCAAGGATTTATGCTCGAGCATTTCTTTCACACAGCCCCAGGCACTTCTAATAGCATTTTTTTTAATGTTGTA